AATAAATATTTTAGATGGCAGTTGGTACAGTCCTTAAAAAATGGTATACGGTGTAAACTCATTCCGAAAAATAACAATGAAATGTATGTAAGCTATAAAAAGAATGATGGTACACAAGTTAAAGTTCCATTAGACAACAACTGCTACTTAAACTTATATGGAGACGAACAAAAGAAATATTTAAGAGTTTATGAAATGGCAGATATGACATTGCCTGACCCAGCTCCAGCACCATATTATTATGACTATGGAGATGACGACAGAACACCACATGTAGATGAACAAAAGCTAACATTATATTTAGATTATTATAGATATAAAAGATATAATGCAATAGAAAAAACGAGAATAGTATATTATTATACAGATGACAGAAATAAATATTATAGTCAAGACTTTACCTACCCTGAAAACATAAGATTATATTATAAAAAATATTCTGACACAAACCAGAAGAAACCTGAAATAGTTGCACTATATTTTAAGTTCAAAAGAGACAATCCTATAATATCTCATATATTTGATTTAATGAACCCAGTAGGTTCTATTTATACATCTATGGATGCAAGAGGTCCTCAAGTAATGTTTGGTGTTGGTGCATGGGAACAAATAGTCGACAGGTTTTTGTATTGTGCAAACTCTTCAAAGGAAACAGGTGGAAGTAAAACGATTTCAGGTGAAAATTTACCTGCATACAGTCATTACATAGATTTAAGTACATCTCAAGCAGGTTGGCATAAGCATAGATATTGGGATTGGTCAGGAATGACAAAAGGTAAAGGATATGATGTTAAAGACGACGTTAAGTTTGCTATAAATTGTTACTGGGATGACACGCAGGGAGAAGGAAACCATACACATTTCGTTTCAGGATATACGCAAACAACGGGACAAAGGAAAGAATACATGCCACCTTACATGACAGTTTACGCATGGTATAGAATTGCTTAGTCGTCATTTTCAACTTCTTTAGCATATTCGTCAGGAGTTGTCTTATATTTGTTAGGAACTGTCTTTGAAAGTATACCACCTTGAACTTTGACAAGTTTGAAACGAGGTCTGACAATAGTAGTTTTATCTTCTGCTTGCAGTGTGTACATTTTGCCATGTTTGCCTAAAACTTCATAATATTCTCTTGTATACTTTCTTCTATTTTTACGAACATGAATGTGAGTACCTGTCGAGTTCCCATTGTTGTCATAGTCAATAGTATTTTCATATGGGTCGCGTTTAGGTATTTCTATTTTTACTTTGTCACCTTTCCGAAGTTTGAAGCCCGGCATTCTTTCTTGTTTGTCTCTTTTGACTAAATTATTAAATATATAGTCTTTCTCTAAGTCGGGTTGTTTTTCATTTCTTCGGGGAGTGGTTTCCCAAACCTTTTTGTTTACGGTTATTGTAAATATTTAAAACTTGTCTCATCTTTGCCTGGGAGAAGTGTCTATACTTGTCGTCATATGACATTTCATTTGCTTCACCACCTTGTGGTTGGTTTAAGTCTCTTAACATTTTTATACATCCGTCAATGACACCAAGAGCAGAATGGTTTTGGTCGACAATGAAATATTGGTTTACATTTTTTGAACGCAGATAGTTTTTTACATCATCTGATTTGAAAGAACTTTCACAGTCAGATGTCAGTTTTGTTGGATGGTATTTGTCAACGAATATTGTCAAAGCTGCTAAGATATCTAAAATAGCTTTGGACTGTAATGGTATGGCTTCACAGTATCTTGTGTTTTGACCAACAAATATTAACCAGTATGGTGGTCCATCTTCTCTATACCTCGGAATGTTTTTCCAAGATATCCATAAACCAAGCATTTGGTGTTGAACTAAAGATTTTTATCATGAGTGCTTTCTTTGTCGCTTTAGAAACATAGGGGTCCTTGTTCGGATTCGTCATTTTTTACCCTATAAGAAATGGGTTTATTTGGCGCATTAGCAGGAGTCGCATCTAGATTTTTACCCGCAGTGGGAACAATAGCCAGAGGTGTATTTGGAGTTGGAAGGAAGATTTTTGAGTACATTAGGTATACTTAAAGAGAAAGCACAACCTATTATACAAACTGTACAGAAAGATTGGGATGTAGCACGAGATGCAACAAATCTTATTCCAAATCCTGAAACAAGAGGAAAAGTTCAAGGATGGATGGACAATGTAGGAAGACAAGCAGGAAACTATTATAACAAAGCAAATGACTACTATAACCAAGCAGGACACTATATGGACCAAGGTGAAAGATTCTTTAACAGAGGATATAACCATGCACAACAATGGGTAAGCAATAACCAACCGCAACCACCTCAAACTTGGGAAATGTAAGGTTTTTAACTAGGATGAAATGAACAATGCAGCATTGAGGCAAATGAGTTCAAGATGGATTTGTTGGCTTCCAGCATTTAAACCGATACCATATAGTCAGGCTCAGCATGTGAAACTGAATGATATTATTAAAGGAACCATCCCACCTCCACAACAACAACCAGTTGAAAACAAACCAAACTAAAATTTTTTACTGAGATGAAATGACCGAAGAAGTTGAAACGGTAGATTTGACACCACAAACAAAAAGTTCAGAACCATTGTCAAAACCTGTCAAAGAACTTACAGATGAAGAGAAAAATTCAATAATAGAAAGTGCCAGGTCTGGAAATACAAACCCTAACTATAAAGTCACTTTTCATAGAAATGGAACGGCTAGTATCTCAAAAAAGAAACAGACTCTCACAAATAAAATATTGAAGTCTGAAGGAGCTTTCGAGACAACAGATGGAAAAGTTTACTTCACTGACCAACAGTTCATTATAGAACATCTCATTGACTTAGAGTCGAAATATTCTAAACTTTACAACAAACACAAAAAGTTGAAAGGAAAACAAAAACAAATGGCATATGATATTTCTGAAGATGTTGACGACACAACTGTTCCTGCAAGTGAAGTTGTTGCATGCTAAGTTCGGTCAACGATAGAAATTGAGTGGAAATTAATCGTCGAGGAAGTACGATTATGTAAAGTAAAAAAATGTTGTGGGATTTTTAATATTATATATTATTTTATAATAAAATTTTTTTGAGTCATTTTAAGAAGCACATATAATTTTTTGAATTTAAAAATTAAAGTAGTGCCTCATAGCCTTTAGTTTCTTATTAAAAACGAGAAAACTTGTTCGAAATGATAAACAATTTCGAACAAGTTTTCTCGTTTTAAGGAGGGAATTGTTCCTTATGAGGTATACATCATAACTATATACCTCATAAGGAACAATTCCCTCTTGATATCCTAGATATTTTTGAATATATTTTTTTAATTAAAGTTCTCAAAAGTATTATCAAAAGTGATTTTTTAAAAATATCTCCAATTAATTAACTAATTAAAAGTATTATATTTTTAAAATTAAATAGTTTTTCAATTTTTTTGAAGGAATTGAGATACTTCCCACGACAATAAAATTGAGAGGTTTACATTATGACTGATCTTAGCATGCAACAAAGTAAAGTCAGAGGAACCGAAAAGTGACGAAAAACCGATAGAAGAAGAAAAACCAAAAACTGAAGATAAACCAAAACCAAAGTTTAGTTTCCAAACTAAACCAAGTCAACCTTCATTAGCTGGTATGGGTTGGCGTCAAAGACTTATGGCGGCAGGCGGTTATGTAAAGTAAAGAAAAAAATATTTTTATTATTATTATAAAAATGCCCCCATATAGAATGGACAGAAAGTCTGCTAGAATAAAAGCAGAGTTACAAAGATATGGTTGGAGAGTTTCGAAGAATTTTAAATATAGGAAGGGAAGACCCATAAAAGTCTATGACAAATTGTCTGGTCTTCGCTACGAAATGGATTTGGAAACAGCACGTGCCAATTATCCAAACAGACTAGAGAGGTTAGAAGAAGAACGTCTTATGGACATGCTTTTCGATGTTAGTGAACCTCAAGTTGAAGGACACGACGGCTTTGCCAGATTCTACTGGAAACATGACGAACAATTGCATCCTTTGAGAAGGAAAAAAGGAAAAGGTGAAGACGCACATGCTCCCATGGAAAGAACAAGATATGCATATGAAAAGTATCGTGAAGTTAGAAGTCAAATTACATCTGGTCGAACCTTTACAGTAAACTTTGACGAAGGAAAGAACAAAGAAGGCTTCATGGAGTACTTGCTGCAATTCAAGACGGAAATAAGAAAGGACACAATCTCAGATTGACCATAACAGATTTGGATGGTCACATTTACTATGCACATGGCAATGAACAAACAGCCGCAAAACTTCTTGACGCTTTCAAGACTACAAAGAGAGAACAAATGGTTGACTCCGACTCAGACATTTTGAATGCAATTGAAGGAATTGCAAGTGTCAAGTTCGAATGGTACCAACCTAACCCTCAAGCAGTCAGACAACATGCTGGATACTTCCCGTTCATAAATAAGTCTGACATTGACTTGACAAGGTATGGAATTTACAAATTCAATTGAAACAATTGTCAATGAACCTTGTATTCTTACATGTCTCAGGAACTCTGGTCTTGTTACAGATGAGAAGATGAAGTATCTTGAGTCATGTGTGAAGACAAGGTACATTCTCAGAGGTCAATTGGCAAAAATTGCACCGTTGGCAAATGTCAATATCCGAGTCAACATACCTACAGCTAAAGGTTCTTCACATGACGACTATGTTGTTGACAAAGACTTACCATGGTTGAAGATTGTAATTGTCCACAACCACTTCATGTTGAACGAAAGTCTTACAAACCCATTCTTTGGTAAAAGTAAGTGCAACATTGTCAGAGCTGTAAACATTCTTTTCGAGAAAGATTTGTTGGAATCAATTCCAGATGACAAGCTGACAGAAACTTTTGTACCAAAAGACGAAACAAAACTTTTCATTGTTAGCAAGACCAAAAGTTGTTCCAGACAAAGTTCTAGTACAAAAGAAGTACACAGTTCCACAAGGGGTTGGTATGTTCGGATACCAACCTGAACCAGAAGAACTTCCAATGAGGTTGCAAGAACTTCAAGATGCTATAAACAAACTTCCATTGAGACATCCAATTGACGTCAAATTGTATTGGAGAGCATCTGAGTTAGGTCAGAAGGTTTTATATGAAACAGGTTGCTTCGACGATGTTTATGAGATAACAGGAGAAGTTTCTCAGAAGATAAGAGACTCACTTGAATTTCCACAAACTGGACCAATTGGTTGCGACAAGTTCGACTCAGATGAAAAGATATACTATGTCGACCTTAACGCTGCATACATGAGGTTTGTCCAATATATTCCGACTGGAATTCCAAACGAAGATGGTGAGTTCCCGGGAAGGAACTATACAGTTGGAAAAGTCATACAACAACTGTATGATATTAGGAAAGCTTCAAACCCCAAAACTTGCAATGACACTCAAATTGCTTATGAATTCGACATGGGGATATTCCATTAAGAAACCTCAAGAGATGAAGAGTAAACATTATGAGAAGGTCGACAACTTTGTTGAAAGGTTTTCTCCTTTTGTTGTGAAGTACGAATTCACTCAAGGTCAAAGTGGCTTAGTAACCACATTAAAACCTATTGTCGAACATTGGTCTTACCCTCAGTTCGCAAAGGCAGTCCTTGACAACTAGAACAAATTCTTCTCCGAAGTCAAATCCAAAGTGAAGGTTTACTATGAGAACATTGACGCACTCATGACGAACGAAGAAGGCTATAACAAACTCATTGAAATGGGTTTAGTCGGTGAAAAGATGGGCTGTTTTAAGCTAGATAAGGTATTTTCCGAAGTTCATGTAATATCGAAAAGGAAATATTGGGGCATACTTGAAGACGGCACAGAAATAAAACATTGCATGAAATAAAAAATTTATTTTTAAAAAAGTGACATTTTTTTATTTTATTTGAAATGTACGCTGAGTTTGTTGGAGAAGACCGTTGGGAAACTTGTTTGTTAGATGAGAAATATGAAATTCACTGTTGTGAGTCATTTGAAGTCAGAAACAAAAAGACAAAAAGAGTTTTAAGCGAATGGGAGCGAAATGACGGATATGCTATTATGAAGATGGGTGGAAAACACTATCTTAAACATGTTGTCATTGCAACTCATTTTATACTGAATCCTAACAATTTACCTTTTGTAGACCATATAAACCATATAAGAAACGACAATAGACTTGAAAACTTACGTTGGGTCACTCGTTCTGAAAACAATAAGAACAAAGGCAAATTTGGAGATATTGTATTCGAATTTGTCGACGAACTAGAAGATGAAACAATTGAAATTACAGACTATGGCAAGCATACGTTTGAGTTTTACTACTATAGCGAAGAACAAGACTCTTTCTACTTTTATACCGGCGTAAACTATAGGAAATTACAAGTATATTTTACTAAGGCGGGCTATGCTTATGTAAACACTAGAGATACAGATGGAAAATACGTTCAAATACTTCTTAACAAATTCAAGAAGCTATATGGCATACCATTTTAAAACAATATATTTTTACATATATTAAATGCTTCAGGTTGAAAAACAAAGAACAAAAGTAGCAGATACAAAACCGTTAGACTATATCTTTACAAATGCTGGTAGGACTATTTCAGATGAAGAAATTTCATCCCGAGCATACAGGTTTGACTATCCAATTCGTTGGCTTCAAAGTCCTTCAGATGCAAAGGCAATAGGATTTAGAAGAGTTTTGTTTTCAAATAGAACTAACGCATTTATGTTCGCAGTATATTTTCATGGGCAGTATGAAGGTCCTGATGGTCTAATAGACAAATTTGACGAAATGAGAATCTTTACAGTTCGTTCAGACGAAAGTCTTGAGAAAACTCTAGATGACTTTCAAACTCAAATGAACAAATATTATTGGGAATTTCAAGAAAAATACGACTCTTTACTAAATGGAACATACTATCTGAAACTAGAATATGACAAGATGAACTCCACCGTTTCATTTCAAAAGATTGAAATTAACCCTCCAAGAGATACAGAGTTTTTATTTTGGGAAGTAGACAAACGTTTGGGCACAATTCTTCGGTTACTAAACCAGAACGAACCATTACCACCAGATGGTTCCATTTAAATTTATACTTCCACCAGCAGATTTGATGGTTTATAGAAACGTGTTTTGACCCTCAAAATGTTATGTGTCATGCAAGTTTCAGTTCAAGCAACAATAGTTTTCTATGTATTGGTAAGGACTTTATGACTTTGCTTCTAAATTCTACGAACCACCTAGTAACAGTTTCTCTGACTTTCAAGTTTGGTTCACAACAAATGGTGTGCAACAATATTATTCCATTGTACTATTACTTTTATCTCGAATTGTCTTTCATATATAACTACGGAAAATTGCTGAAAAAGTATTGAATGTGAAGATATTAGAAAATAACATTTTTTCTAAACATCGTAGAAAACTCATGAAAACAATTTATTTTTGACACTTTCACAAAAAACATAAAAAAGTGAGTTAAAATGAGATGTTTACTGAACTGGCTGAATGTCGCCTTCACAGGTTATGTAGAACGGCTGACCAGAGAAGTGGAACAGTGCTCTGAGAATTCGTATAATTCGTGGAATTGGACTCTCTCTGTTTGGAAGTTGTATCCATGGGCGCTTTGCAAAGAACTTGAGAAGAGTTCTTTCTTCTTCATCTCCTTATGTCGTCGAAAGGAGGTGCCTTCTGGTACCTCAATTGGAATTCCAGTCGAAATCTCGAGATTCAAGGCAGCCCTTCCCGTTATCCAACCGTTAACAAGCTTGCCTTTTACATTCTGCCTGAGGAAGTCTTTAACAAGCTCGTTAATTTCAATTAGGTAAATTGCCTCGTCAAGTCTTTCTTGCGTTCCAAGTTCTTCCATCCGACAGGAAAATATTTCCCGACAAAGGGAAAAATTTTTCCCGACAACAGGAAGAACTCTTCCAGTTGTCCGTCCGTAAACCATTCAAATTTTCGAAAATTGAGAACTTTTTGGTCGAACTTCAGAAAATGTTTTTCCTTCCGACAGAAAAAGTTTTTCCTTCCGACAGAAAAAGTTCTTCCATCCGACAGGAAAAATTTTTCCTTCCGACAGGACACAAACGGATGACTGACGTTCCTCTTCCTGAATGCCTTCCAAAGCCAGAAGAACCGAAAGCTGCAGAACCACAACAGTCTCCTCAGCAACCTCAGTTCCAGCAAGTACCTCCGAATTACTACCAATTTCCACCTCAAGGTTACTACCCACCACAAGGCTTCCGAACTACCCTCCTCAGCCTATGCCTTACTTCCCCAACCCTTGGTTGTTCCAGCAAGCTCCACCCCAGCAATTCCAATTCCAATCTCAATCGAAGAGAGACCAAGACTTCGAAGAGGTCTGAACCGCTTACGCAAAGAGTATCTACAGCTCCAATTGAGAGAAAGTTGTTCCCGGACCAAAAAATAATGTTTAGGGTAGATGGTTAGATCTAACCTCATTTCTACCCCCATTTCTACCTTCATGAATTTTCACGAATTTCCTTAAGACAGAAAAAATAAAGTTAGTTTTATTTTTATTTATTTTTTTATTTTGTATGTAATAACAGAAATGTCAGTCGAAGCAAAAACATTCACGAACAAATCTAATGGCGAAACATTCACAAAAGGCACTTATAACGGTATTGAAGTCTTACGTAGAGACAAGGATGGTTACATTAATGCAACAAAGATGGCAAGAGAAGCGGGAAGGTTAAACCATTTAAACAGATTTCTCAATATGCTAAAATGCAGGAAATTCTTGAGTTTTGGATGAAAGAATACGGTCGAGCCAAAAGTGGCTCAACCTCAAAACAAGCATTTTATGAGCTTACTAAGGGTGTTATAAATGAATTCACAGGTATTTACATACATCCTGACCTCGTTCATTTTGTTTGCTGAATGGTGCTCTGTAAAGTATGCATTTTATGTCAAAGATATTATGGACTCCATAGACAAGAAAGTTCATGAGAAATTAGATGAAGAAGAACTTGAAGATACAGTAGAGAATGCTAAACCTTTGTTCGAACAAGAAGTTAGAAAAATGTGCGAAAAACAATTAGAACATGAACGTGAGATATGTTATGTTATAGAGATTCTCCATACGAACTAGACCAATGGGAACAAGAAGATTTAAAGAGAGAATTTAGAGAATATGAACTCGCTAAGATAGCATTAGAAGCTGCAGAAAAGAAGTTAAAAGTTTGGGGTCGTTTTGTACAAAAATATTGTGAGTAAATGAACTCATTATTTTTATTGAATTCAGCAAAAATAATGTTTAGGGTAGATGGTTAGATCTAACCCGATTTCTACCCTCATGAATTTTGTATAAAAAGCAACCGCCGGAATTCGGACTGTTGCTATATTCTTCACAAAATGCCTTATAATACTCTTCCCAGGACTTATTTTCCAACAACTTTCTAAAGTCTTTCCTAAACTGACTGACTGACTGACGGCACAAAGTGGCTTAACGAAAACATTAATATATAAAATTCATGAAAATTCATGAGGGTAGAAATCGGGTTAGAAATCGGGTTAGATCTAACCATCTACCCTAAAATATATTTTTGGTGTAAATTTCATTAACTGACTGACTGACTGACGGCACAAAGTGGCTTAACGAAAACATTAATATATAAAATTCATGAAAATTCAAGACCTTTGGGTCTCGCCGCTTAGCGGCTGAGGGTAGAAATGAGGTTAGATATCGGGTTAGATCTAACCATCTACCTTAAAATATATTTTTGCTGAATTCAGCACAAAAATAATGAATTTCATTAGTTAGAAAAATAACGCTAATTTTTTTCTAAGAAAAATTTTTATTTTGTATGTAAAGACAGTAATGTCAACATCAGAGAACACAACAACAGTTATAGTCCATGAAGCTATAAATGAAGAATACGAGTACATACAGTATAACAAACAGTTACGTCTCATTCGTTCGGTCAAAGACGATATGTACCAAATGCAAAGTATTTTGAATGCTCTTCGTTCTACAAAGCAAGCATATCATTGGTTTGAAAACCAACAGACAAAAGAACTTTTAGAAGAATTTCCTCATATGATTGCTTCCCTCGGAAAACCGAGAGAAGAGATTCCGTACGAAAATCGCAAGAATTTGGCTCCTGGTTTGAAAGGTTATTATGTTCATAGACTTTTAGTAAATGCTGTAGCAATGTGGGCTTCACCTCGTTATGCTTGTTATATTTTCATGATGTTAGATGAACTATATAAAGCAGAACGTGGAGAGATGGAAAACAAGCTTGAAGCAAAAGACAAAAGCATTCAGAAAAGAATACCACGTTCGGTACCAAAGGTAAGGAAAAGAGTTATAAGTATATGATTTACACTGAAGAGTTGGAGAAA